GGGAAGGGAAGGGAAGGGAAGGGAAGGGAAGGGAAGAGAAGAAAAGAGAGGAGAACTCTAGTAAGAAATCACCTGTGCCACCAGCAGGGTGTAGTACTGTCTTCACCTTGGAGAGCCAGAGGCTGGCACCTGCAGAAGGTGTGCATTCTGTCTGGCAGTGCTCCTCGGCCTGCCTGCCGAGTCTGAGGCTGGGCTCCCCTGGGGGTGTCAAGCACCACTGCTGGTTAACTTGGAGGACGAAGGCACTCTGGCTAAGCTGGTTGAAGGTTGAAGCTCTTTGAACTGATACACTAGATGTGGGGTTACATGCCAGTCACCCCAACATTTGAGAAGCTGAGACAAGAGAATTGTCATGAGTCCAAGGGCAGTTTTGGTGATAGAGTGAGACCCCATGAAAGAAATCAAGGGACTCTGAAGAATAGTAACAGGTAGGGACAATAAAATCTGCTGCCCCTGGGAAGGGTGAGTGTGTCTAAGTCCTGTGCCTTGCACTGCCTTGTGGGAAGGAGTCAGGGTAAAGAGCCTGCCACTGACCTGGGTTAAATGTACGTGGCTGAATTATCTGTGCACAAAAAGAATCAAAATTATCCTTTACGACCAAGCACACAGCATGAAAATTAAGCCTCTCTCTAACCTTATCTAGTTTTCCAGTTCCCACACCCAGAGGCCGCTACTATATTGATTTCGTGTGTATCCTTGTAAAGAAATCCATTCATATACAAACATGCCCCTTCTGTCTGCTCCCTGTGATCAATCCCGGTGATCAAAGAGCTCTCTAATGGGCACCTAGGCCTGCCATTCCCCTTTGAGGCTTTTCAGCAGATTGAGAACAGGATCCCCAAGTGCTCCCTCCCCCAATCACCCCCACTTCTGGTGTGCATGTGTGTGTGCATGCGTGTGTGCGTGTGTATGTGTGTGTGTGTGTAGGGGGGGGACTGGGTCTCATACAGCTGAGGTCTTGAACTCACGGATCTTCTTGTCTGCACTTCCCCAAATGTTGGGATTGCAGGCAGGACCGGAAGTGCTGAGGACTGAACTCAGGGCTTTTTATGCTAGGCAGGCGCTGACAACTAAGCTACACCCCCAGTCCCTCTAAGCATCTCTCTTTAGTCACCAACCCCCCAGGCACTCTGTCTTTCCTTTCTGTAATTTATCTCTCTTCAGGTCTTTGATTTCCTGTCAGTACTTCTAAGGAGCTGTCTCTAAAAGTCCTTTTTAACTAACACCATCAAAGCCTGACTTTGAAGTATTGTATGCAAATTCTAGTGTTTGCATATAATTGCATATGCATTTGTATGACTATCTAATCTAGCTGGATGAGAGGCTTCTGACCGTAGGGATTCCCGCATCCCGTGCACAGGTAACATTCAAAGTCCTGGGCTCCAGGATCTGAGAAATATGTCTTTTTTTCATAGTGTTTTCTTTTTAAAAATTACTGTTATTTATTTTGTGTATAGAATAGGGGGAACGTGCACACCACTGGGTACACACAAAGCTCAGAGGTCAAGTTTTGGAGTCAGTTCTCTTCTTCCACTGTGCAGAATCAAACGCAGATCATCAAGCTTGGTGGCAAGCCCCTTAACCTGCTGAGCCTTCTCATCAGCCTAGGTAAATATTTCATGAGGAAGCAGATCAAGACTTGACTGGTAGAGTTGAAAAGAACTGGAACTCTTCCTTTTTTTTTTTTGGTTTTTCGAGACAGGGTTTCTCTGTGCAGCCCTGGCTGTCCTGGAACTCACTCTGTAGACCAGGCTGGCCTCGAACTCAGAAATCTGCCTGCCTCTGCCTCCCAAGTGCTGGGATTAAAGGCGCGTGCGCCACCACTGCCCAGCTGAGCTCTTCCTTTTTAACTTGAAATTTTTACAAAGAGTTTTAGGTGTGTATAAAAGTTGAAAGAACATCACAATGAACTTTTGTATGTATATCACCTGGAATTAGGAGCTATCATGGTTTTATCGGATTTTCATGATCTTTTCTTCTTTCATTAAACAGTTTCCTAGCCTTCTGAAAGCACAGAAACATTAGATACCATTTATTGAGTGTTTACTATATGCTGGACATTGTGCTAACTACTTTGCCCATATAATGTCATCTTATTTTCTCAATAACTCTTCCAGGTGACATTCTTAGCTCTATAGTACTGACAAAAAGCCCCCAACACACTTTAAGTCAGTTCATTCTGTATCCCTAGCTCAGGTGTTTATCTGGTATATAAGGCTCATGTTTTATAAAAAGATTAATTTTTATTTATGTGTGTGTGAGAGTTTATGTGCATTCTGTGCATGTAAACACTCTTGAAGACCAAAGGGAGTTAGATCTCTAGAACCAGAGTTACAGGCATTTGTGAGCACTGGGAACTGAACCTTGATCCTCTACAAAGAACAGTGTTCTCTTAACCACTGAGGCATCCCCCAAAGCCCATGTTCTCAACGATAAAACATTGCTTGTTGTAATTTTAATCAAACTTCCTTTCTATTGCCTTTTCTCCTGCACGGCTCTATGGGTTTCAAAGAAAAATTGAAGCACTGTTTTGGTCTAAGCTATAAATGAAAGGATACCATGAGTGTGGAAAGGAAGCAGCGATTGACACTATTATTCCCCTATTACAAATCAAGTCTACCGGGCGGAGGTGGCCCACACCGTTAATCCCAGTGCCTGGGAGGCTGAAGCAGGTGGATTTCAGAGTTTGAGGCCAGCCTGGTTACAGAGGGAGTTCAAGCACTGTCCACGCACTGCTTAGAACAGACCACACCACATCAAACAGTTTCAAGTGGGTATTTAGGAGATAGAGCAAAGATGGGGAGGGGGGGAGAAGAAGAGGAAGAAGATGGAAGAAGAGAGGAAGAGAAGAATGAGAGGTCAGGGGGTTCTGCCTGTTTTATATGGACGGTGATGTAGCCTCTCCCAGGTGAAGGTGGGAGGTAGCCAGGTGGATTCTGGGAATGTATAACGGTTGCCTTGGCAACGATGTGGGGCTCACCTAGATGTGATGTCACTGGGTTCTGAGCCTGATACTAACAAGCACAGCCAGGGCTACACTGAGACCTGTCTCAAAAAACAAACAAAAATCAAGTCAGTGATCTGGCAATATGGCTCAGACGGTAAAGGTGCTTGCTTGCCAAGTGCAACAAGCCGAGTTCAATGTCCAGAAGCCACATGGTGGAAAGAGAGAATTTATTCCTGCAAGTTGTTTCCTAACCCTTCCCCAGCACCACCACCTGCCCCTAAACACTATGCCAAATACACCCTCCTCCTCCCCCCGCCAAACAAATACACAGGCAGACAAAGATATATAATAATTTAAAAACCAATTTGACAATAATTATTGAAACCTTTATTCATTAAGCTTCACTGAGATCGGGAAATAACTGTGAGCCAAATCCATACTGTCCTGGTCCCGTGGATCAAAGATGAACCCTGTTGAAGCCATCTTGCTTGAATATCTTTTGTCTCTTCGGCTGAAGTTGTGGATTTAGAGTGAGAGAATACAGTGCAGTTAATGTGGAGGACTTACCTGAGCTGGAATCCAGCCTAAACCTTACTAATTGCGGCCCCTGCCATGACACCAGAGCGAGGAGAGAGCTCCTTTAGTCTTTCCTGCTTCTGCTGCAAACCCTAAGTGGGTGGGCTACGAAGGCGGAGCTCCTGGCGCCTCGAGGTTTTGCTAACACGGAGAATGGAAAGACCCGGCGCAGCATAGGAAACATGCATGATGGTTCAAGACACAAGCTTTACAACGGTTCACAGAGACTTCCTGCCGGTCCCCAACTGAAAAGAATAGGAATTGGCGACACTTTCCAGCTGGCTTATTTCTTAGACTTCATTTCTAGAGTTAAGTTTAGTCAACTTACAGCGATGAAGTAAACAATACCACCTGTGTAGCCCTCAAAGAATAAACCCAGAAGGTTTCCGTACAAAACACCCGCACTGTTTGATTTTTGCATATGGAGTATTAATAGCTTCCCCTTGGTTAGCACACATATGTGTAGGCGCTGTCCTGGGTCTTTTGCACACACTGCTTTGCTCTATTCTCTTCACGGCCCTATAAAGCAGACATACTGATTTCACTTTTTTGTAAAGGGACACTGGCAGTTGGGTTACCCAAGGTCATATAACAAGTGGTAAAAGTGGGCCTTGAACACTTGCCGTTCATATAACCACTATCTTATCTGTTTTGGATGGAAAGATGTGTTCAGCCAGGTATGTCTCCTAACCGCAGCCTAAGTGTCACGCTATACTGTTGTTACAACATTTCCAAGCCTGGTGTGGTAGCCTATACTTGCAGTCTCAACACTAGAAGTAGGGTCAAGAGGCTCCCAAGTTTGAATTCAAGGTCAATCTGTGACAGATACTGAGACCCTGTCTCAAAGAAAACAAAGGGGTGGGAGGGGGCTGGGAATGTAATTCATTGGTAGAGAGTTTGTCCAGCTTGGACTAGCTCCTGAGTTTGATCCTAGCGTGAAGAACAACCTTTTTCAGTGTCCTCTAAGTTGGAATTGTCCTCAGTTTTCTTAAATGTCAGCTGCTCTCATTATGTGTGATTGACTATCAGGAATCTTCCCTTTTTTTCTTACTCAGTAACTTATGATTCACACCCCTCCCCTCAAAGCAGTCCATAAGAAAGGACAGTAATCAGGAACAAGATAGCATTCTGGAGAAAGCCGAGACAGGAGGCGGTGGCTCTGGGTTATGGTTTGGATAACCTTTTATGCTCCCCAAAGGTCCATACACTTGACTGATTGCTTGTGGCACCACTGGGAAGTGGTGGGACCTCTAGGAGGTGGGGCCTCACTGTAGGAAGTTAGGTCATTAGGGGTGTGCCCCTTGGAGGAGTCACTGGAACACCAACCCCTCCTTTTTATTCTTTTACAGACAACATGAAGTGAACAAAATTCCCCTGCCACATGGTTCTGGCTTCCTCAGTGTAACACTGAAATCTCTGAACCTGGAATCAAAATTATCTTCTTCTCCTTGTAATCTCTTTACTTCTGGTATCTTGTTATAGCGACAGAAAACCAACAGGACACACTCTTAACAGGCGATGGCCACAGTCCAAAGATCACAAGTACTACCAGGACTTAGTTTTCAACTTAGGTCCCAGTAAAATGATGGTTTTGTAATAAAAAAAAAATGGGTTTGTAACTCTTAGCTAGCATTGGATTTTATTTCACCTTTTAATAGGAGGAACCTATATGCACCCCTAAATTGGTTTTTTTTTATAAGACAAAATCACTGAATTCACAGCAATAAAACTCATATTTGTTTTGGACCTTAACATTTACTATTTTAAGCACTTTATAGATGTTCTTTCTTTTAATTTCACAATCAGTGGGTGAGGGAGGTCCCATCATTACTGGTGTTTTACAGGTAACAAGTCAGAGGCTTGCAAAGGGTACAAAGTTACAGTTACAGTCTAGAGAGCTAAGGTGTAATATGAGAGCTAGAGTTAGCAATGCCCTATTGCATGCTGCCATTTCTCTGAAGAGTAGATTTAGATTTTTTTTAACACTTGGGCCCTCCCTTCACCCCCCCGCCCCGGGCACACATAACTATGGAAATTGGTTTAACTATAGTCAGCATTTCATTATGTACAACAAGAGACAGGCGTGGAGACAGCACTCTGTGCACCCTAAAGAAAGGAAACAAGAAGGAAGCAGGGATGCTAATTGCAGACCTTCACCTCTCCCTCTGCTCCTCCAAATCCAATTCTACAGTCTCACTCCCATCTCTGTAGGGGACCGCCTCCTGTGAGGACCTCCTGCCGTGACCTCCCCTCCTCTTTGCCCCCATCTCCAGCTGATCACACAGATCTTCTCTTCCAGCCTTCCTCCCACTCATCCAGTTATCCCAGCTCCCAACTATCAGGCTTTCTCTGGAAACTCACCAGCCAAGCTGCCAGGGAAGCAAGCAGGCCAGGGAAGCAGGTGAGCGAGCTTCCGACTGTCACTCTCCATCCCCTCCTCCTCCTCAGCCAGTCCCCAGTCTCATCCCCAGCGCTATAGCGGACAACGTGTTGTGGCCTCTCCTTATTCTCTGTCCACATTCCCAGGGAACTAAGATCTTGATGAATCGCCCTGCCTTCCTCCTTCCTGTGGACCTCCCCAGCATCCCCCACCCCATCCCCATTCAAAAGTGTCAAGCTCCCAATACCTAGAAACACACTTTATCCAAAGTCTCGAGTGGCCACACCTATCAGGATCAGAGAAGAATGTCTTACCAGGCAATATACAGCTTCTAGCTTTGGTTCCTAAGAACCAAAGAGGGCAACAGAAACCAAGAAACAAAACACCTATCCAGCAAAGACAAGACCAGATATCAGCACTAGAATTACAGTCTTCCCAAACTCTAGTAACTCTACCATAATAGGCCCTGGGTATTACAACACAGCTGAAACATTAAGACAAAGACCTTAAAATAATCTTTATGAATATGATAGATGTCCTTAAAGAGAAAATTAATAAATTCCTTAAAGAAATCTGTGAATAAACACATGTGTGTGCACTCGAGCGCGCGCGCGCGCACACACACACACACACACAAAACCAGGAAGTGAATAAAAAAGTTTAAGATATGAAAGTGAAAATAGAATCAATAAAGAAAACCCAAACTGAGTAAAATCTGGAAATGAAAAATTTAGGAACCTGAACAGGAACCTCAGAGGCCAGCCTCATGAACAGAGCACAAGAGACAGAAGAGAGAATCTTAGGCATTGAAGGTAGGATAGGAGAAACAGAGACTTCCGTCAAAGAAAATGTTGAATCTGGAAAAAAAAAATCCTGCAAAAAACCATCCAGGAAATCTGAGTAATTATGAAAAGACCAAAACTAAGAATAATAGGAATACAGGAAGGAGAAGAAATCCAGGTCAAAGGCAAAGAAAATATTTTCAACTGAATCATAGAAGAAAATTTCCCTAACTTAAAGGAGACACCTGGCCGGGCGGTGGCGGTGCACGCCTTTAATCCCAGCACTTGGGAGGCAGAGGCAGGTGGATTTCTGAGTTCGAGGCCAGCCTGATCTACAGAGTGAGTTCCAGGACAGCCAGGGCTACACAGAGAAACCCTGTCTCGAAAAAAAAAAAAAAAAAAAAAAAAAAAAAAAAGAAGGAGACACCTATCAAAACACAAGAAGTATACAGAACACCAAATAGACTGGACAAGAAAAGAATTCCCCTCAGCACATAATAATCAAAATACAGAACAAAGACAATATTAAAATGTACAAGGGAAAAAGGACCAAGTAATATAAAGGCAAACCTATTAGAATTACACCCGTCCTCTCAGTGGAGACTCTAAAAGCCAGAGGGGCCAGGGGAGATACTGTACAGATTATAAGAGTCCTCACATGCCAGCCTAGATTACATATCCAACAAAACTTTTAATCATAATAGATAGAGAAAATAAGATATTCATGCTAAACCTAAATTTAAGCAAAATCTATCTACAATCCCAGCCCTACAAAAAACAATAGAAAACAAAATAAAACAAAAAACAACAAACAACCCCACTCCAACCTAAAGAGGTTACTCACACCCAAGAAAACATGAGGAATGAAAAATCCTAGACTAGCAAGTCAAAAGAGGGGACACACACACACACACACACCCTACAACAAGATCACAGCAATCAACAAACACTGTTCACTGATATCCCTTAACAACAATGGTCTCAATTCCCTAATTAAAAGGCACAGACTAACAGAGTGGATGTGAAGACAGGATCCATCCTTCTGCTGCATCCAAGAAACACATTTTAACATCAAGGATAAACATCACCTCAGGGTAAAAGGATAGAAAGAGATACTCCAGGCAAACGGACCTGGAATCAAGCTGGTATGGCCATTTTAATATCTGACAAAAAGCTACTCAGAAGAGGTAGGGAAGGACACTACATATTCATCAAGGGAAAAATCCACTAAGATGACATTCCAGTAATAACTATTTACCAACACAAGGGAACCAAAGTTCATAAAAGAAACACTACTACAGCTTAAATCACATATTGACTCTCACACACCAGTAGTGGGAGACTTCAGTACTCTACTCTCATCAATACACAGGCCATCCAAACTAAAACTAATCAGGGAAATGTTGAAGGTAACTGACTGTAAAAACAAAATGGATAGATATTTACAGAATATTTTACTCAAGCACAAAAATATATACCTTCCTCTCTTTACCTCATGGAACTTTCTCCAAAATTGACCACACACTTGAAAATAAGGCAAGTCTCAGCTGGACATTGGTGGTCCATGACGTTAATTCCAGCACTCAGGAGGCAGAGGCAGGTAGATCTCTGTGAGTTTGAGGCCAGCCTGGTTTACAAAGAGAGTACTAGGACAGCCAGAGCTACACAAAGAAATCCTGTCTCTAAAAACAAACAAACAAACGCAAGTCTCAACAGACCCAAGAACACTGAAATAACATCCTAGATCCCTATCCAACCACCACAGAATAAAATTGTATGTCAACAACAACCCAAATCTTACAGACTCATGGGAAATGAACACTTCACTGTGGAATGAAAAATGGGTCAAGACAGAAAGAAATGAATACTTGATTTATTTATTTTTTTAATATGCATTGATGTGTTTTGCTAGCATGTGTGTCTGTGTGAGGATGTCAGATCTCCCAGAACTGGAGTTACAGTTAGTTGTGAGCTGCTGGGAATTGAACATAGGTCTTCTGGAAGAGCAGCCAGTGCTCTTAACTACTGAGCCCTCTCTCCAGGAGAAATGAATACTTGAATGAAAACAAATCCAACCAGCAGATATTGTCTTTCTACAGTGTCGACTCTTCCAGTTTTGCCATGGTGACCCTTATGGGGCATTCCTGCTTGACGTCTATAATATCAACCTTCTTGTGGATTCACGTTCATGTGGCCAAAGGAACAACTCTGTATTCTTCTCCTTTTTCCTTCTGTA